AGGGAAGAGAATGAAACAGACAAAGGGTTGAGGGTTTCTGACAAGGGATTCTTGAACACCGCTGTAATGCGGAGCCAAATCACTTATATTGATGGAGAGGCTGGAGGTACGGTTCATTGCCGGCTACTTTGTCATTTCTCCCATTTAACACCTTGAATCAAGTCCTTCGATACAGGTATGTACTTGTCGAGTTCGATGGTCCAAAGTTGAATCGAATTGATACTGCAGAGGATACCCCATTGAGGAACTGGCCGTGCATTCCTCTCACCTCGAAACTGGTCCGCACAAAAGCCCTCGCAAGAAGTTGATCACTTGACTGATACACTTGTACCAGCTTACCTTCTCATATACGGCTCTCTTCCAACTTCATTTCAGCTCGAAGTATGGAAGAGCGAGGTTATGCACCATGGCGTCGTACACGCCGATGCTGAGCAGTTCTTCCGGTCATTTAGGTGAGCCATCCTTCCGTTCTTAAGATGCTCGGTCCCGAACAATCCGATAGGTACGATGCCCATCCAATGGCAATACTTACCAGCGCATTCGCATACCTCGGGTCGTATTACAGCGAGGCAAATCCCTCATTGCAAGGTTTGCTGCGAGCATTTACTATCACTCATTGTAATTCACATTTCGAACCCAGGTCAAACTCTGTTCACTCAGGGAAGTCCAGAATCACTGGCTGTAATGGACAAGCAAATATACAGATTGATCGGGAAAGCTACCACCCTCGCTGCGTAGGTGTTTGTTCATCATAACCTGTAATGTTTAAACAATTTTTATGCAATTTTTACCCCCCAGAATGGCATATCGAGTCCGGCAAGGCAGAAGTTTTGTCACACCACCCACTGGGTTCAGCTATACGGGCTCGTAAGATTTATTCTCAATCATCGGTATTACCAGAAGCATTAATTCTACATTTTCAGCTTCCTGTATCAAATGGATCATCTAGGCGAGGAAAACTACAAACCAAATCCTGTTTTAGAAAAAGCCCTGGATGTCCTGTTCTTGCTACATGCTGATCACGAGCTGAATGCCTCCGCAACGACGGTGTTGCAAACCGGAAGTTCACTTGTGGACCCGTACTCTGCGATAGCGTGAGTGCACCCAAGTTAAATATGAAAGTCATTTCTCATTGGCGCTCCCTTCTCCAGCGCTGGTTGCGCGTCTTTGTAGTAAGTCCAACATTTAGTGTTTTGCGTAGATGGACGCTGATTTCGTTTATAGCGGTCCATTGCATGGTATGTGCTGATTGTGACCTTGCCATGGTTGGAGTGATGATTGCTGATATTTTTACAGGAGGAGCAAATGAAGCTGTCATTCGGATGCTCATCTCCATTGGCAGGTAGGCCTCAGTCTTGGATGTCCAAGTTGGTCCTTCGGCTGATCCGGCAAAATGCCTATGTACCGTACATAGTCCCGCGAATGTTCCTGCTTTCATTGAAGCGGTCAAGAAGCGGGAAAAGGTGCTTTCAGGATTTGGACACCGGTGCGTCACTATTATTGAAAGAAGCTGTAGTGATTGACGGTTCCTGCATAGGGTATACAAAACCGTATGTTCTACGCTAACTACGAGTTGCCATAACCAAAGCTCCAATGTGTTGACAGTCGGACCCAAGGTCGTTCATTGTGAGGAAGACTGCTGATGAGGTTTTTAAAGTGTAGGTACCCTCGGTCATACAGGATTTCGTATATTCAACGAACGTTTCCATTATGTGCAGAACTGGTAAAGATGAACTACTGGAGACTGCAATGGCTCTCCATGAGGCTGCTATGAAGGATGAGTATTTTATTAAGCGTAAGCTGGCACCCAACGTCGACTTCTGGTATGTGTTTTGCTCTCGTTTGCTGTGATCAGGTTTGATAAAAATACCTCGTCCATAGGAGGTGAGATTCTGTCATCCATTAATTGGCAAAAGTGACCCACTCTCGGTTCAGTGGCCTCATTTATCGGGCTATGGGTATCTATCTTATACGTATTGCTCAAGCGACAAAAACTGATCAGTGTTTAGGTTTTCCTCTCGATTTCTTCCCAGTGCTGTTTGCTGTGCCTCGTGTGGTGGGATGGCTAGCGCACTGGCGGCAGGTAAGTTCCGTTTTTGACGGTTTTTACACGATGATAACGTCCTCCCCACTCGTGGTTCAGATGATGCTTCAGCCTGGCGGTGTTAAGATCTGGCGGCCAAGACAAGTAAGTCATTACTTGATGCCGATCGAAATGCCCACTTTTCTCTGATTTTTTTAGATATACGTCGGTGCGAGCAAGAGAGAATATGTATCAATCGGCGAGCGCAGTCCGGTGGAGGGGCTTCAAAAGACACCTTCTCAAATATCGCATTCTGGGTGAGTTGTAAATTTACCACCTTGAGATGGTGACCATAGCGACTGACCTATGTGATGGAATTGATCCTCCGTTGATTGTTTGACACGACCCAGAATCAGTAAACGGACGATGCTTGCAACGTTCAAGGGGGCAAAGCTGTGACTTTGGAGTACATACATACCTCTCGACCTCACGAAGGGCATGAGGATGGTTATATTTTCTGGCTATACTATGTATTGAATATGGTATGTAGATGATATGAAAAATGATCTGTAACTCGTGGTGAGCAGGTGCCAAGCTTTGACGGAAGGCGACAATTGACCGTTGCGCAAACAAACCGTGGGAACGGAACGACAATGGCTCGGAGCGCAAACAACTCTTTTCCATCAAGTCGCCTCTTGTTCTTCTACTTCCATCTCCGGTCCTATAAATCATCACACCCTTACTCTCCTCTCCCCCGCATCTAGTGAAACATGTTCACCACACTCGTTACCGTCACTCTTTTTGCCGCTGCTGCTATCAATGGCGCTGCCGCTCAATTGACTATACAGACTCCCTCAATGACAACCGTACTCCTAAAGTTTTTAACCGTCTGCTGCTCAGACTCACTTCCTTTTGTCTAGTGTGAACCCGTTGATTTAACCTGGTCTAGCACCACTGGTCCTTACAACTTGATTATGGTATCCCCTGACGACCCCTGTGGTGATGCTCTGTACGGAAAAAAATCACTCCATCAGAAATTCCTTTCCTAAAAAAGGCCTTTTATTCCTCCTTAGTGTTGATCTCGGAGACCAGGACGGTACTTCCGTAAGCTGGACTCCCAACGTTGCCCCAGGCACTCAATTGGAATTGTCTTTGGTGGACGCCAACGACGAAGAAGCTTGGTCGGGCACTGTATGGGCCTTCAATGATTTTACCGTGTTCCGCTCGGATTGACGAAGATTATCTGCTTTCAGATTACCGTGGCACAAGGTTCGGACACCAGCTGTGTCCCCGCTGACGCTCTTGCTGCTGCTTCCTCCTCTGCTGCTGCCTCCTCCGTTTCTTCCTCCGTTTCTTCCTCCGTTTCTTCCTCCTCTGCCGATGCCTCTGCTTCTGCCGTGTCGTCAATTTCCGCCTCTGTTGCTGTTACTGGTACAACGTATGTAATATATCACTACAATGTTAGCAATCGTCTGACGTTTTGACAGCTTGGTGGTAACCGGCGCTGCCACCGCTTCCGCATCTAGTGCCTCAGCATCTTCCAGCTCAGGACCTGTTGGCGCTGTAGGTGAAAATGGCCCTCTCGAAGCTAGCAGCAACGGTGCTATGACTCTTGCTACTACTCCTATCATGGTTCTCAGCGCTGTCGCTGGAATCCTCGTTCTATCTCTCTAAGGATACCGCCCCTGCAGGGGGTATAAAATACCCATCCACTCATACCTTCTCACGTATCTTTATTCTTATGTCCTTCCTCCGCCCCCGGCTAGCTCGTGTGGATCATGTTTTCTACCCGGGTGTGGTTTCCGTCGTGCGTCTGATTGACCGTTCTGCTTTATTTTTTGGTCCTGTCTTCATCTGATTGGTTCTGGATTCCGTGTTTGCTACTTGTTGTGACATAGGGGAGTTCCTTTTGCGTACATAAATTATCCAAGCCTAGCCATTCCATGGGGCTGCTGATTTATCTCGATCTGCGATGGGATTTCTTTCTGGAGGCGCACTCCGAGCTGGAAAATCTGCAGCTTGCTTTCTTTCATCCTCTCCTTTCAATTTGTTAGCCACGTAACTAATCGCTTTGTACCTACATTGTCAAGTTTTGATACGCGGTTGTATCGTATTGTTTTTCTCTGTCAGTGGTACGGAGAATCAACCGACAGCACAGATTCAAGGTAATGAATGCCAAGCTTCAAATATTTTGAAGAACACGAGTGTATTTCCAATAGCTTCATCATACGCTTTCCTTGTCCATATGACAATGGGCCATGAAGATGACTTGAGAATTCTCTCCCCCTTCAGTCAAGGTTGCTACAATATCCTCAAGGCAATTTGTTGCAAACCATGCAAAACGGTACACCATACTTTTGGACTCATCATCTTCATCTAGACTAAATCCTTCCTTTGTCCAACTGCTTTTTTGGAATGAGTGCATCTGTTGTAAAATTCCATCTTTGGAACACGATACTGCCAGAACACCATTCCTGCTACCACTGCTTGTTTGAGAATCCTGCAAATCTCCTTTCGCTTCTACTCCTTGCAATATCGCTCCACGATCCGTCTCAAGCTCACACCTCATCTCATCAAAATCCACGCTGATATGCGCGAGTCCCTTCACGCCAACGAAATCCTTCAGGAGGACGAGTAATTCCTGATTCGTTTGGCTATGGATCCATTCGTAGTGAGCAGCGACAGATGTCCATCCGGAAATCAGGTAAAATATAGATTTGGAATCAGAGGATAATGACTCGAAGAACAAGACGGGGTATCCTGATACAGCAGATTGCTTTTCAGCGACGAGACGGAGATGGTCGATGAGAGGACGCTGGGTTATCGATGAAGAATTCGACGAGTCAAGTACTTTGAGGGTGGCAAATTCAGTTATGGGCATGGAAAGTGATAGAAATAAGGACGCGTGAGTCAGGGATTTGTCTGTCTTTTGAGGGTAGATTGATTCGAATAATATATAGCATACACTGGCTAACAGCCGACCATAGCTCAGTTGGAAGAGCGCGAGACTGTAATTGGAAAACTACGATATCTTGAGGTCGCCTGTTCGAACCAGGCTGGTCGGATTAGGCTTTCTCGACTGCATTTTTTTTTCCTCCGTTCAATGACTTTCCGATCATGCGGAACATTTGTCGACTGCTCAACATAATTGGATCATCATCCATCGACGATGCCAAAAATGTAAACTACGTCTCCTGAATTCGGTCTGTCATTCGCTGGCGATTTCCTCTTTTTCTCCACCTTCATTCCCTTGTACTTTCGACACGTTCGGCGGTTTTACTCGGGTATCTTCTTTGAACACCCTTCATACAGCATCCGCACTCGAATCCATACAGCATCTACACTCTTCTAAACCTCGTTCTGGGCAAATATTTTTGTCGGTATTCTGGCTTCAGAATGGCGACACTGGCAATGAGATTGAACGAGTTGGCTGCAGCGAATGGTCAGGGTTTGTTAGAGTGCGTGTACCAGGTATCCTATTGCCTTACGAATAATCATGTCAATATAGTGATGATGAATATCGGATTCTGCGTCAAGACGCATTTCAACGATATGCTGGGCTTGGAGATACAGATGGTTCTAGCGGAGGCATAGTATTCGTTGAGCCTTCCATCGCCCAGTCAAATCGGTCAACGAGCTCGATGACGATGACCTCTGCGCAGCCTCGACCGAAGAAGCTTAATCGGCGTCCGTCCGAATCAAAGATGAACATTTTCGCTTCAACATCGTCAGACAAGGGCAGAACCTCGACGAGTAATAATGTTATATCCTCATTTATTCGTCGAGCTACGTCGCCGTTAAGGAGCTCCGAGTCTCCACCTGGTCCTAGTATATTCCCCTCCATTTCGAAGAAGAATACCCAAGAGTCCGCACTCTCTAGATCGTCCTCGCGAAAGAACCTGAACTCTGGTCATTCCCATTCATATATGCACTCAATTCCAGACCCCCACCTACTGTCACCACCGACAAGCCCTACCCGACCTGTACATGCCCCTTCTCAACGTACAGCTACCAAAGTTTCTTCATCGCCAGCGAAAATCTCTTCTAGCCCCTTCAAATCATCTACCCAGACTTCACTATCCGCTATGTCAAACCATGACATCTTCGAAGATGGCGGACTTTTTACCTCTGCTGATATTGGGCGTGCAATCTCAGACTTGGACGAAGATGCGAAAAATGTGCTTCGGGCATTCGATGAACTAGAGGAAAGCGCGTACAAGAGAACGAAATCGAGGGCCCACTCATCCAGAAGCCATTCAGCTGCACCACCGTCTTCATTCAGTCTAAATCTGCTTTCAGCTCCCGCATTGCAACATCGTTCGAGGTCGGACTCGGCAGCAACTGCAACTGTGAGTGGACGCTCTGCTGCCTCAACTGATGAATCGTTGTCGAGGTCGGGCCATCCACGACTACGTTCGCAGTCTACGACCTCGATGACTAGATTGGATTCGCCTCATAAATTTAATTCTAATCTTGGCACTCCCCATTCCACATCTAGCCAAACTCCCACACTTCACCGGAAAGGCTCGGTTTCGTCTCTAGCCTCGTCAATATTCTCATTGAAGCCCAAGGCGTCAATGCCATCCCTACCCTCTTTACCATCCATCCAGAGCATCTCAACGATGCCTCATATCACTAGATCCCGGAGCGGCAGTGTCGCATCATCTACCACCTCGTCCAACCCATCCAACTCTTTCTTTTCGAGCTCGGGGAAAAGCGTCGAAGGAATGCCGTCGATGTCTACTGAATGGAGCTCGTTTGGACAGGGAAGATCGAGTACATCTACGGGTGCTAGCAGTATTCATACTACTACCAGTACTTCGAGTACTGGGAGAACGAGCCTCAGCAGTGGACACGGACATGCCACTGCACCTTCCGTAACAGCACCTCCCGTTCACCGCTCTCGCTCCGCCTCCGAATTCAGCTCTTCCAGTTCTTCTGTCCAATTCCGCGGAAACTCGACTAGCTCGGGTCGTGCGGGACCCTCTGGACACTATAAATATCGCTCAGGAGAGCGAGAGCGAGGCCGAAGAAAAGGGGATCAGGATAGATTGGATGAACTGGACGAATTAGACGAATTGGGTGAAATTCACCAGATACAGCAACGAAAGCGGGATGTGATTGGGAGGTATGATGCTCGGAGGGAGTATCTCAAGGCTAGGCTGAGAGGAGCAGAGTTGCATGAGAAGGTCAAAGGACGATAAACATAAAATGAGAGTTGAGGAGAGGAATGTTACTTATGGTAGTGGGATGGACACACGTATATTTCGTATATATTTAAGTTATGTAGAACCCTAGCGAGTGTAGTAGTGTGATAATAATGTACCATTTACAAGACCATTTACACACACTGGAGAATTTTCTGCAAGGAGAGGGGCCAGAAGATGCTGTCAGCTCCTAGTATTTGGAGGAGCCCGGGAATGACTGCTCCAACTATGTACTACCTGAAAAAGCCCAAAATTTGTGGGTGCGGAGCAGGTTAATATCTGTGACATTTATCTTTCCTTGCTACTCTTGCAGCCGGCTAGCTTTGGCCTCACTCAACAACGTTGCGGCCGATTTTGTCAACTACCGGAGAGGGCAACGAAAGCGTCAAATTGCTCTGAGCCTTGTACGAAAGCTGTAAGAAATGCGTGTAGTGCAGAACGACGTGATAAAATTTTCCAAAAATGACAAAGAGAAAACAGGGTTGGGAGTAGAAGTGAAAGGGGAAAGGTAGTCAATTGCACGGCATTCAGGCTTGGGCAGCGTTTGAGGAAATTGGTGCAGCCAACACGTACCTCATATACTCACTTGAAAGATATACATTTCAATAACCTCATGCAGCCATAGTAATTGCTCTGCTGGTTCTAGATATTCCTGTTGCGGCGCTTGGCCCATTGCTTGCACAAGTAACTGTAGAAAACAGGTGTAAACGTACTAACGCAATAGATTTGGTATAGTAAATTCCGAGTTAGGCAGTGTAGAAGGTACCACAGATACGCGGCATAGGGAACATATCACCAAATTTCTGATACTGTGTGTTCTCCCAATTCTCAAACTCCAACGACACGTCTTCAGTAACTCCCAGGCGTGCAAGGATATCAAAGATCGATGCACACCAGTGACGGCAGCCCCTTCCTTGGTCATCAAAACTGAACAGTGCAATATTAGTTCGACTTGATCTTTGTTATTTGCGCATCAAATGACTTACTCATATTGATTGACTTTGAAATCATTGAGCAGTTGCATGCAGAGAGTCCCAGCCGTGTAATTGCGAAGAACAGGCACCGTGAACAAGTCAGTATCTCCTGTATTGGAATCAGCAGACACCTTCTTCCACTCTAAAACAAGGTTTGTGCGCATTGGGTGAACAGGATCCGTATATGACGGGGTGGGGTCGAATTGAACAGAGGATTCATTACTGGTAACAAGAGAGAGGCAGAAATGGAAGTTTTTGCCCTCATTCGTAGGTGTCCCAGTGACAACCACAGAAGTGATTATCGCGTCGAATAGATCAAGATTGTGGCGCAAATCGTGATTCAAGAAGACGTTGTGTGGAAAGACGTAGGAGCTGTATCGGATGAGTCGACTCGGAGGTTAGTAAGAATGTTCGTCAAACTCTGTGAAAAACCTACGACATGGGCTACGGAAATTCTTTACTTGGATGAGGGTCACTCGTAACCTCTTCGTGTTCACTTATTTGTCCCATTTGCCCTGAAGAAGGGCAAAACGCCTGATGTATGAAGCAAATGATAACAAATAGCTACACAGAGAGTATTCCGCTTTTCGCAAAGAACTACTTATGTATTGCGTAGGACTAAGGTGATCACGTATTCTATACTCTACTACTTCGTTTTCTCTGTATCATTGTCATTGTCAATCTGAAAACAAGGATCAGTATTTTCAGTAGAAAAAAAGCAGCAACCTCACTAAGTTCATGATATAAGTCAGGACTTCTAGAGCATAAGCAATTGCCTGTATAAATGGGTACTGTCCTGGTTTATTACAATTGCCAGCAATGAATGGTACCCATGATAACCACGGTGCCCTCGCCATCTTTGCTTCTTTTAACATACTTGCTGACTCGAACAAGCGTGGATACCAGCCCGATTCTCCCCAATCGATGAGCCACAGCTGGCCGTCGTCCCCCATAATAACATTATCCATACGTATATCGAAATGGGTGAAAACCAGTGGCTCTGTGTCATCAAACTGGACTACATCTGCATCTGCCTTACCAAAGCGCTGCAGAACAAGCAGTCGATTTTGATACCAGCGTGACATCTCGCGGTAGGATTTAAAAGGACCGCAGTCACCACTTGTAGTAAAGAGTCGGCCATGACATATCTCAGGACCATGCTCAGAGAGAGGTCCTGGATAAGGAGGGGGACCGATGCGATACGAAAAAGCACGCAGCTCATGAACGTAGAACCGCAAAGTGAGCGCCACACGGAATCGTCGCCACCATGACATCGTCGCCCAAACCAAGGAGAGCCTTTGGCCTGGAACAAACTGTTGAACTATGAGGCACCCTGACCTTTCCTCATTCGACCACAGATATCTGATGCCTTGGGGCACAGGTATATGAGTTGAGAGTCGAACCAACTCCATTGATGATAATTCGGAGTCACTGCTAGAACTTGAAACTGTAGATTTTGCAATAGCGTCCGGTGAAATCATGGCTACGCGTCCCTTGAAAGGACCAACGAGTGAAGCGTCGAGCCGTATAGATTGAGAGTAGTATGATTTTCTGATTTCCTTGTCAGACATGGACGCAGCACTGTTCGCAGGAGCCTGTCGAAACGTCTGAATATCAAGATAGAGCAGCTAGAAGGCATGAACTCTCAACTGCTCTATTACCTGCCGGTTTGCACATAAGTAAGGGTTGTACAAAGAAAAAAAGCAGTGTTTCTAATCCAGTAAAATCAAGCATGTTCGAGGTGAGCAGAGAGAAGTAATGAGAACGCGTCTGACACGGGACGCAAAAGTCATAATAGTGAACTGCCATTGAGGCATCACCGTTGGCATCCGGTTGTGACCCGGGCCGGGTACAAAAAATTATGTGTCTGTCCCTGCTTGGTCC